GACATGACTCTCTCTCTCTGTAGTCTAGTTCACGGGTGTATTTAGTCCAAGGTAGGATGGTGTTTTATTTGTCTAATTGTGTTTTTTGTGGCTGGTTAAGTGTGATATATAACACCTGTATAATCAGTAACAGTTATGTAACATTTTGTTCCTTTATGTCCACACAACAGTTTGTTACTTACCTGACAGTCACCTGAGGTTAACTGTTACTTGTTGACCCGAGGACCTCCTCTTGGGTCACCACTGAGGTGTAGTTAACTTTGACGACTAGTGCCTGGCTGGTTGACTCGGGTAAGACCATCATTATGTGAAGATGACAGAGAATTGTGTACGGTGGTTGGGCTCACCCTCAGTAGTTAGTGATGTGGCCCACCCTCTTGTTCCAGGGGTCAGGTGTTTGACCCCCCCAGGCACTCCCAGTTCACCCAGCTGTAAATGTGTACCTGAGTTTACAATTTAGTGAAGTGAAGAAAGTCGAGAGCAGTACCGGCCATGCTGCCTCCTTGTGTACTGAAGGCTTAGTATACTGTATCTACACTGCCCCTAACAGCCAGTATGGGACACACTGTTATTCTTGCGAGGATATTATTAACATTTTAGATTTAGACAAACTGTTTGGAAAAGATGGTCTTCTCAGTGAACACAAAGAAAGGCTTCACTACAAGACTGCAGGGACAAGAGCTCTGCAGTTTATGGGTTTGACAGTAAGAAAGACGAACACTTCACTAGAAACTGACAGTGTTCATAGAGGAAGACGAACACTTCACTAGAAACTGACAGTGTTCATAGAGGAAGACGAACACTTCACTAGAAACTGACAGTGTTCATAGAGGAAGACGAACACTTCACTAGAAACTGACAGTGTTCATAGACTGGTGGTAACAAGTAAACTCGACCCTATTGTAGAAATATTGATTGTGTGTGAAGAGTTAAACCTTCCTGTGAGGGGCCATAGAGGTGGTGGATTAACTATTGTCAGCGGTAACAGAGATCAGCAGCCGACCACGTTTACCTTCCCTCGCAGATGATGGTGACGAACACAACCAAGATGTTTCAAGTACAGTGATGGAAATATTACACAATATAATCTTCTGAAATATGTAGATGATGTTATAAAGAAAACAGTCATAAAAACACTTAACACTTCATATTTCTGCTGTGATGTTTCAAGACAGGAACAACTAACTGTCTGTCTGAGGTAGTGTGTTAGAGGTGTGGGTGAAGGAGGGACTAGTTCAGTGGTATGACGGAGTAGAGACTGTGAGACTAAGGTTGGCTGTTACAGGTTATTATAAAACAGGAATATTCATCATCAGCTTTAAATACTGTCTCTGCTGTTGTAGTGTGTGATTGATGAAGAAAACATTGTGGAAGTTACCCAGAAAGGTCTTCTAAAATCACTGTGTACAAGTCGTTGGGCAGAATGGCACTAGAGTATACATGCAGTCTATGTACTGATGCCTGCTAGTGTAGTGTAATGGTTAGCATGCTCGCCTCACAAGCAAGTGGTCCAGGGTTCGATCCCCGGGCAGGGTGAAACTATGGGCAAGTTTCTTTACGCCATTTGCCTCTGTCTACCCAGCAGTAATTGGGAACCTGGATGTTAATCAATTTACGGATCGTGTTCCGGGGTAATGGTTAGCCAGTGCAGTTGGTGAGTTGTCCGGTCTTCTCGGACTATTCCTTGACACTGGGTCATGCAGCTCGTTAACTCAGGGTGTGGTTGTTGTGTTGGCGACAGCTTCTACACCTTAAACACTGGGTCATGCAGCTCGTTAACTCAGGGTGTGGTTGTTGTGTTGGTGACAGCTTCTACACCTTAAACACTGGGTCATGCAGCTCGTTAACTCAGGATGTGGTTGTTGTGTTGGTGACAGCTTCTACACCTTAAACACTGGGTCATGCAGCTCGTTAACTCAGGATGTGGTTGTTGTGTTGGTGACAGCTGCTACACCTTAAACACTGGGTCATGCAGCTCGTTAACTGCGTAGAACGACTGTGTTGCTTGGGATGGAGTTTGAACCACCTACCCCACCCCCCCTCCACACACACAGTCACATAATCACATTCTCTGACCCCCACATCCATTAAATTGTCTCTGGTACGATGAAGTGGTCTACCTTGGTGATCCCCGGCTGCCATACCTCTTGTTATTGTCAGCCGGGGATCACCACTCACTTCATAATGTTTCCTTTCAACAACAGTCATGTGAAGTAAATGGTTTGTGTTTATAAATTATTTGAGTTATTTAGACATTATTTAACTATAGCAGCAGGATGTAAAATTTAATTTGAATCTTCTGGGAGTCTTTAATGGAACCTATTTTTGTCTCCTGGAATTATAAAGATCGACATATGATCCCTTACCTTCCGATGGTTTGGCGGTGTCCCTAACCACGTCGTTAACAGTCAACGCTTTTTAACCTTAAGGCTAACTTGGGGGTTAATCTACAGGTGAGCACTTGGGGGTTAATCTACAGGTGAGCACTTGGGGGTTAATCTACAGATGAGCACTTGGGGGTTTAATCTTCAAGTGAGCACTTGGGGGTTAATCTACAGGTGAGCACTTGGGGGTTAATCTACAGGTGAGCACTTGGGGGTTAATCTACAGGTGAGCACTTGGTGGTTAATCTACAGGTGAGCACTTGGGGGTTAATCTACAGGTGAGCACTTGGGGGTTAATCTTCAGGTGAGCACTTAGGGGTTAATCTTCAGGTGAACACTTGGGGGTTAATCTACAGGTGACACCCAGTGGTTAATCTACAGGTGAGCACTTGGGGTTAATCTACAGGTGAGCGCGGTGGTTAATCTTCAGGTGACACTTGGGGTTATCTTCAAGTGAGCACTTGGGGTTAATCTACAGGTGAGCACTTGGGGGTTAATCTACAGGTGAGCACTTGGGGGTTAATCTACAGATGAGCACTTGGGGGTTTAATCTTCAAGTGAGCACTTGGGGGTTAATCTACAGGTGAGCACTTGGTGGTTAATCTACAGGTGAGCACTTGGGGGTTGATCTACAGGTGAGCACTTGGGGGTTAATCTTCAGGTGAGCACTTGGGGGTTGATCTACAGGTGAGCACTTGGGGGTTAATCTTCAGGTGAGCACTTGGGGATTAATCTACAGGTGAGCATTAAAGGGCAAGATTACAATTGTTTTCATATGTAATCTCAGTTTTGATGCACACACACACACATACATACATCCAGTATTGCATTTGTAGCCGAATGATTTTTCTGGTTGTGTATTCTATGATACCTCGATATAATGGACTTTCATCTCTATATACCATTATATCACGGCCTATAAGACGAAATTTGAACATTAAAAAAATCTGCCCAAAGTTAGGGGGTCGTCTAAACCACCAAGTTTAAAATTCTTACCTCTTAAATATTGTGGTTTAGTGTGTCAAGAGTGGTGATGAAAACATCATAAGCCACTCACAAGGTCTTACCACTAATTATTTTATACTGAAACTTACGTTTGGCAAGCTGGATTCAAATTAAGATTACCGGTATATTAAAATAATAAAAATGTATTATAAACCTGTCTAACATACCGTAAAAGAGATTTATACCCCTATAATAAACACAGCTATCATCACCCTCCCCCCATTTGCCAGTGGGGCGATGGAATTTGATGTCGGTATATTATATAATATTTATCTCCTATAAATAATTGATTTAAATTTTATTTTAAAGAATATTCAGTAAATGAGTGCATTAATTCTTGACTTCTAAGCTGATTTGTACAGGCGCTCCAGAGTGACGTCACTAGTGTTTACACTACTATTGTTATTACTTGATGAATTGGCCTTATTTTAGTAACTAACTATAAATAAATACAAAATTAAAAAAATGGCGAAATATATACTGTATGTATTTGTGTTGTCGTAAAGTAAGAGGAACAATTGTGTAAATGCGTATTTTTCACTCAAATCCTAATGAAACACTACTGGAGAACATTCCTTTGTGTAAAACAGTTTATAAATTAAAAAATAATTACAGTGTGTTTAATATATTACAGTATATTATAAATAAATAAATAAAACAAATAATTCGGTAAATCTATTTAAGTAGTAAATAAGCAAACATGTTATTTACCTAAGACCTTCGTCTGGCTCAGGTTGAGATGTGAAATAAAGAAGGCTATTTATATTCCATCAGATGAAACTAATACCTAATATATAATAATTCATTGAACATTCATTTTTGTACATAGTATATATATATATATATATATATATATATATATATATATATATATATATATATATATATATATATATATATATATATATATATATATGGTAAAATATATACTAATTGACCTTTTCACTCAAATCCTAATGAAACACCACAATTAGAATATGGTGGTTGCTGTTGAACCACATGTTGTATAAATAGTCACACCGAGGCAGGGAACACTCCCAACACGTTCAGTGACGTCACTAGTGTTTATTCACCAGCGGGTATAATTTGATGACATTACTTGAAGTGAATTGGCCTTATTTTAAAAATCAAGGATGGTTGGTAAGGACTACTGGTCAGTGAAAGTGTCACATTTGGGGTACTGGTCTTATACAGCAAATAGAGCAAGCTACTTTTAAATGGAAATTTGGAGGCGTCTTATGCACCGCGCCTTATAAACCGTGATATCTGATAGTTCATTAGATGGAAGCTTAACTATGTTCTTTATTAATACTTAGTAATATTTGACAGTGTAGTATTGAATAATCATAAAATCTTATATTGCAGTGTGGCGAGGATAATTGGTTATTATTTTGTATAAATACATCTACTAACTGTAGTCTGTAATACCTATGTTCTTATACTGTATTGCTGTATCTGCCCTCTTACTCCTCCTCTTCCTTATCTTCCTCTCTTTCCTCCCGTCCCTCATTCTCTACCGTCCGTTTATTGAGATAATTTACCTCGCGTTCTCCGGACCAATGGGTGTCCTTCCCTCTGCAGTACGAGTAGCGGGACATAATCAGAAGCCTGCGTCGTCATCCGACCGCTTCCATTGAAAGTGTGAGGGCATAAGTTTTGTATAAGTCTCCCTCGATGTTTATTGGTCAATCGTTTTCTATGATTAGATGTGTTTTTTTTTGTAGGATGATACCCACTTTCTTTGGTTTGATTTTTTTGGGTGTTGTAGTCGTTTTTGTGGTGTTTTTGGTTATTTTCGTTTTTTGGGGTATTCCGTTTTCTGTGGTTAGATGTTTTGGTTATTTTCGTTTTTGGGCTATTCCGTTTTCTGTGGTTAGATGTTTTTGTTATTTTCGTTTTTTTGGGGGCTATTCATTTTCTGTGGTTAGATGTTTTGTTATTTTTTCGTTTTTGGGGCTATTCCGTTTTCTGTGGTTAGATGTTTTGGTTATTTTCGTTTTGGTATTCTCGTTTTCTGTGGTTAGATGTTTTTTGGTTAGCGTTTTCTGTAATGTTTTGGCTATTCCTACTGTATGATGAGATTTTTGGCTATTTCTATTTTCTTTTTTTATTCATTTTCTGTGGTTAGATGTGTTTCTACACTGTTTTTAGCTACTAGTTTTTTATCAATTAGTCTTTGGCTAGACCCTTTCCTTTGATTATATTTATTTATAATGCGTTGTTATATATTATTTAAGGGTAATTTTATTGTATATTTGTAACTAGTTCAGTGATATTCTTGTTGTTTGACTGACTGTATGGATTATATGGCCACATCGACCTGACCCAACCTTGACCTGACCCACCCAACCCAATTTCAATCAGCAATTAAAACTGATTTATATTTGAAAATGTTTTAATTTGTTATTTTATTTTTAGAGCTTGTTATTTTATTGAACAATGGTAACTCTTGTTACTCTTAGCAAAACCGCATTGCAGATTTTATCCATGTTTTAGCATGTGGTGGTGTACTGGCGAACAGTAACTGCCAATTAAGTGTTTTATGAAAGTTGGTTTAGGGTTTTATGGTCTATAGTGAAACCTCAATATAATGGACTTTCATCTCTATATAATTCATTAGATGGAGGTTTCACATCTAACAGACCCTCGATATAATGGACTTTCATCTCTATATAGTTCATTAGATGGAGGTTTTAACATCTAACAGACCCTCGATATAACGGACTCTCCTCTCTGTTCAACCCTTTAAATACAGGTTACGACTTAGTTTATGTCACGTTATTAATACTCTGTGTATAACAGGTGTATTACTCTACCACTGAGCTGCATGACCCAGGGGACACTTCAGATATGGACGCTGAACTCATAGCCGACCACAATGAGATAGTGCTGGAGGATGTTAATGGCCAGCCTCCTAAGAACACACATAAGGTAAGGCTACGTTGTGGTTATGTTATGATTTGGTTTGGGTTACGTTGTGTTGGCTTAGCTCGGGGTACTTTTGGTTGGGTTAGGTTATGTTGGCTTAGTTAGGGGTGGGTTAGTTTTGTGTTGGGTTGGATTGGGGTACAGTACGTGTTTATGTTTGTCGGTCCGTCAACGAGCTGTTTGTCACCACTGTACAGGCATTAGGGCCCTTGGTGATTTATCTGATTACCAATTGACACACAGACAGACAGAATGAGATCAAGAGAGACAGACAGACTGACAAAGATAGATGAGGCAGATCCAGGAATATCAAAACAGGGGTCCAAAAAGTTGTGGGTAGGGGGGGAGCACAGTGAGACTGGGGAAGGGGCTGGTGTTGGAAGTCCCCCCCCCCAGAAATTTTTTGGAATTCTGACCAATATCATGGGCATTTTGGGGGCCATTTGAAGCCATGTGGTCTTAATATTAGGAGATATTCTGAGGTCAATATTAATTACTTTTTACGATACAAAACTGCATTAGAGTATTGGAATTATCTGATGAAAATGGGTGCGGTCCGGACTACCCAGTACACGCCGTGGATCTGCCCCAGTAGGTAGATGGATACCGGTTTATTAAGGATGTTGAAGTTTGTTATAGAGTATTTAGTTTATGATGAGTGATATTGATATTATTTATGTCAATGTTGGATTTTATGTAGTAAAACGCTTATTGTTATTATTATCGTTGTTGTTATTATTGTTATTATTATTGTTATTGTTGTTATTATTACCTGTATTGTTGTTGTTGTTGTTATTATTATTATTATTATTATTATTATTATTATTATTACTGGCCTGTGTGTCTCTACCTAATTCCCTCCAGCCCAAGAAGAACCCTGAGCTGTACATGGAATGAAGTGGACGTAGTATCGACTAGATCCTCGTCGAAGGATCTGGAGGCTGAGACTAACCTGAACACGAGGACCAGAGCGAGGTGTTTGAGACTAACTGGAGAAGGAGGTCTCGTCCTTGAGGTAGAACAGTGAAGTCCCCCTTAGGTGAGTCTTAGGGTGGGTTAGGGAGTTTGGATTGGGTTAGGGAGGGTTAGGTTAGAGTGAATCTATGGGTGACTCTTACAGGCTAGAATTACACTCTACCACACCACACACACACACACACACCCACCACCCCACCCCCACACACACCCCACACACACACACCACCACACACACACACACACACACACACACACACACACACCCCCCCACACACCCCCAACCCCACCCCCACCCCCACACCCCCCACCCCCACCCCCCCCACCCCCACACCCCACACCCCCACACCCCACACACACCAACACCATCGCTTCATTATCACAGGTCGTAAGATCCCATAGCGCGTTCGAGGTCTGCACAAGATCTGAGATCCTCCATCCGTATGTAATAGAAAGAGGTGAGTGCCAGTACACGTTTTATGTAAAGTCGAGAATGAATACAAAATGCGTCAGAATGTTTACAAATTGGTCATGTACTTTGTGTTTGTCGTTGTTTCTCTTGTATATTAAAAAGTGGATTGGTGATTTATTTATTTTTATTATAAATTATTGTTGAAGGAAAATTTGTTGGCATTTGGTTAATCTTCAGGTGAGCACTTGGGATTAATCTACAGAGTGAGCACTTGGGGAGGTTAATCTACAGGTGAGCACTTGGGGTTAATCTTCAGGTGAGCACTTGGGGTTAATCTTCAGGTGAGCACTTGGGGTTAATCACCCTGAGTGAGCACTTGGGGTTATCTTCAGGTGAGCACTTGGGGTTAATCTTCAGAGTGAGCGCGGGGTTAATCTTCAGGTGAGCACCAGGAGTTAATCTACAGGTGAGCACTTGGGGGTTAATCTTCAAGTGAGCGCAGGGAGTTTACGTCTGGAGTGAGCACTTGGGGTTAATCTACCTGAGTGAGCACTTGGGGGTTAATCTTCCAGGTGAGCACTTGGAAGTTAATCTTCAGAGTGAGCACTTGGGGTTAATCTTCAGGTGAGCACTTGGGGTTAATCTTCAGGTGAGCACTTGGGGATTTAATCTACAGTGTTGGTGCAGGATATCTACAGGTGAGCACTTGTGGGTTAATCTACAGATGAGCACTTGGGGGTTAATCTTCAAGTGAGAACACTTGGAGGTTATCTTCAGGTGAGCACTTGGGGAGTTAATCTTCCAGGTGAACGCAGGGGTTATCTTCAGGTGAGCACTTAGGGGCTAATCTACTGAGTGAGCACGTGGGTGTTAATCTACAGGTGAGCACTTGGGTGTTAATCTACAGAGTGAGCACTTGGGGTTAATCTTTAAAATGAGCACTTGGGGGTTAATCTGAGTGAGCGCGGGGAGATAATCTGAGTGAGCGCGGGGGTTAATCCTACTAGGCCAGGCACTTGGGGTTAATCTTCAGGTGATCACTTGGGGTTAATCTACAGGTGAGCACTTGAGGTTAATCTTCAGAGTGAGCACTTGGGGATTAATCTACAGTGAGCACTTGGGGGTTAATCTACAGATGAGCACTTGGGGGTTAATCTACAGGTGAGCACTTGGGGGTTAATCTACAGGTGAGCACTTGGGGGTTAATCTTCAGGTGAGCACTTGGGGGTTAATCTTCAGGTGAGCATCACTGACATACAAACAGTCTTGGCAGAAAATAATAATAAAAATCTCATGCCATTTACCTTAAGAATTATTATATACTTATTTTATATATGATATACCTTGAGAATTGATGCTCTTATTTTTCTCCACTGTTCAGCATGAGATGTCCAAATATGTCATGGTATATTTGTCCAGTATATCCAATATGCCCTCGTTATCTTGTCATGTTTGAGGTATAATATGTGTATTTCTTTAAGCTTGGCTGCTGTGTTTGCATTATATACGGAACCAGTGATTGATCCAGGAACTTGTGGGGGTGGGAAACATGGCAAACTCAGTGATCCCACCATTTTGAAGCCATGTGCACTTGATACTAGGAGATATTCTGGAGGTCAATAGTTATTATTTTGTACTATACTAAAACACCTGAATACAATATTGCATTAAAGAAAAAGTATTGGAATTATCTGATGGGAAGGGAGGCATGTGGGTCCACTTCCCATTGGATCTCCTCTGATAGGCCCAGTAATGAAACACAACTTATGAACTGAACTGTGGTTTAATGAAGGCTGTTATGTTGTGTAGAACTGTGGTTTAATGATGGCTGTTATGTTGTGTAGAACTGTGGTTTAATGAAGGCTGTTATGTTGTGTAGAACTGTGGTTTAATGAAGGCTGTTATGTTGTGTAGAACTGTGGTTTAATGAAGGCTGTTATGTTGTGTAGAACTGTGGTTTAATGAAGGCTGTTATGTTGTGTAGGGCATGGTTTTAATGAAGGCTGTTATGTTGTGTATAACTGTGGTTTAATGAAGGCTGTTATGTTGTGTATAACTGTGGTTTAATGAAGGCTGTTATGTTGTGTAGAACTGTGGTTTAATGAAGGCTGTTATGTTGTGTAGAACTGTGGTTTAATGAAGGCTGTTATGTTGTGTAGAACTGTGGTTTAATGAAGGCTGTTATGTTGTGTAGAACTGTGGTTTAATGAAGGCTGTTATGTTGTGTAGAACTGTGGTTTAATGAAGGCTGTTATGTTGGGTAGAACTGTGGTTTAATGAAGGCTGTTATGTTGTGTAGAACTGTGGTTTAATGAAGGCTGTTATGTTGTGTAGAACTGTGGTTTAATGAAGGCTGTTATGTTGTGTAGAACTGTGGTTTAATGAAGGCTGTTATGTTGTGTAGAACTGTGGTTTAATGAAGGCTGTTATGTTGTGTAGAACTGTGGTTTAATGAAGGCTGTTATGTTGTGTAGAACTGTGGTTTAATGAAGGCTGTTATGTTGTGTAGAACTGTGGTTTAATGAAGGCTGTTATGTTGTGTAGAACTGTGGTTTAATGAGCATTTTCTATTTTGGTCTCTTGTCTGGGGTCAATCGATGTGCGGTCAGAATATACAGTGTGTTTCAGAAAGTTATGAGGGATTTCACATTAATGGAAACTTGGATGTAATGGCTTTTCTGTAGTTCATTAGATGGAGGTTTCACAACTCTATATAAACCACCAAAATAGGTTTCAATATATATATATATATTTTTTTTCTACATGTATTTACCGCCATCAAACTTTGTTGCAGGTAAATTAGAGAAGTTGGTGTTTAGATTAAAATAATGGGAAATAATGGGTCATGTGAATCCTTGTTCAAATATACCCCTGACCTGACCTGACATACCCTGACCTGACTTACCCTGACCTGACTTGGGCTGAACTAACCCCAGGTCTAACTTAACCTGGCCTGACCTGACTTACCCTGACCTGGGCTGAACTAACCTAACCAGGCCTAACTTAACCTGGCCTGACGTGACCTAACCTAACCTGACCTAACCTAATCTGGCCTGACCTAAGCTAATTCCTGGTCTGAACTAACCTAACTTTGCCTGACCTGACTTGTCTTGCTTTAACCAAATTTATTATAACTTTGTCTTAACAAGCTCAATCTGACCTGACTTAACTTGTCCTGACCTGACCTAACCAAATCTGACCTGACATGACTATGACCTGACCTGGCTTGCTCAAACCAAATGCATTATAACTGTCTATTCAAGCTTAATATAACCTAATCTGACATGACCTGAACTGACCTGACCTGACCTAACCCAAGCAAATCTGACTTGTGCAGCCTAACCTAACCTAACTTAAATCACCCTGGTCCTGTTGATTAGGTTAGATTGGGGCCTATTTGGACAAGGATCTAAAAGACCAGGTGGCCTCCCTTGCAATGACGTAGTTGAGACAGTGAACGGCGTCATTTGTAATTATTAGTCATTATGGATCACCGAAACATTAGCCCCCCCCCAGATAGTTTCAGGGTCGTTAAACTGGGGTTAATCTACAGGTGAGCACTTGGGGGTTAATCTACAGGTGAGCACTTGGGGGTTAATCTTCAGGTGAGCACTTGGGGGTTAATCTTCAGGTGAGCACTTGGGGGTTAATCTTCAGGTGAGCACTTGGGGGTTAATCTCCACAGGTGAGCACTGGGGTTAATCTACAGGTGAGCACTTGGGGGTTAATCTGCACAGGTGAGCACTTGGGGTTAATTTTCAGGTGAGTACCTTGGGGGTTAATCTTCAGGTGAGCACTTGGGGTTAATCTTTCAGGTGAGCACTTGGGGGTTAATCAGGTGAGTACTGGGGGTTAATTCAGGTGAGCACTCTCCTGGGGGTTAATCTTTCAGGTGAGCACTTGGGGGTTAATATTCAGGTGAGCACTTGGGAGTTAATCCCCGGCTACAAAAGACCTCGTTCGTGATCTTAACTACACACCTTGGCCCCCATAGTGAGATAATAACTGACGCAATACTTTTATCACTCCTTCAAGTGCGATGATGAACTAAGGAAGACATTTGTAAGAAGGGCAGGTGAACTGTTTCAAGAGTTGGTAAGAGAAATGGTAATGGTTTGATCACCCACGGCACCAGTTTCCCCTAACAACCTAACATAGTCGAGTTGTTTACATTAACATACCCGGGACCGAGCTGTTTACATTAACATACCCGGGACCGAGCTGTTTACATTAACATACCCGGGACCGAGCTGTTTGCAGTGTGGTGATATTGATGCATGGGCTTTATTCCTCGATGCTGTTTTCGTTTGTTTATATCGACGACTAACTTCACTCTATACCCCCATAGTTGTGATCCACGATGTCCTTTTGATTATACAGGGCGTTGCAAATGCGTTTAATCGTAACATCGACGACACACTTTATTATATGCCCCGTAGGTGAAATCCACGATGCTCTAGTCAGTTTATCGACGCTGCACAGTATTAAATACCTTACGAGCTCGGTACTAGAGGTCCGACTGGGGGGTGCAAATGTTTGACGTAAGGCTGGGGTACTGAACGTAACTAAGAGGGGTATCTGGGTAATGCTCCACCAACTCTCCCCCCCCTCCCCCACAGAATAATGCTCCCTTCCTCCTCACGGAATAATGCTCCTCCATCCATCACCCCTTCGAAGCCTTGAGATGGATCCTTGGTCATATTGGTTGATGGCTAGTGTACTATCAACTGATCCACAGATTCCAAGACCCTCTGAGTACGATAACTTGACCCCTTTGAGTACGATGACATATTCCCTTGTGGATGGTATGGTATGCAGAGGGTTATCGTACTCAAAAGTGTTATCGTACTCTAGGGGTTAAGTTATCGTACTCAAATGTGTTATTGTACTGTAGGGGTTAAGTTAAGATAGTAAAGGCCAACAACACGGTAATTCTCGATAATGTACTCCTGTGGGTTTATAACGCATCTTTGTAACGTATAATCGCATCCCAGGGCTTCCATAACGCATTCAGGGTCGATAACGTACCCCAGGGTCGATAACGTACCCCAGGGTCGATAACGTACCCCAGGGTCGATAACGTACCCCAGGGTCGATAACGTACCCCAGGGTCGATAACGTACCCCAGGGTCGATAACGTACCCAGGGTCGATAATGTACCCCAGGGTCGATAATGTACCCCAGGGTCGACAATGTACCCCAGGGTCGATGATGTACCCTAGAACTGCCCGCATTACCCTAAGAGGTGAGAAATTATGTACTGTACCTTGAAACAGACTAGGGGGGGGGGTTTAAGGGGTTAACTGTGCAATCGTTGAAAAACACGACCCGGCTCACTAAACGTTGTCGAAACATAAACAGAGTCAGTTCACCGATACAGTAAATAAACACAGAGTCAGTTCACCGATACAGTTAATAAACACAGAGTCAGTTCACCGATACAGTAAATAAACACAGAGTCAGTTCACCGATACAGGTTTAGGGGGAACTGGGGCTATTGGTCGATACCTCTATACCCTAAGCTAGACATGAAACCAGCCTCTGCATGATGCCTCCACCCTGACCCAATCACCTTTAGGGGTGTTTGCTAGATTGGTATATGAGCTTGAGCATAACAGTACAAGCTTGAACATCACAGTACAAGCTTGAGCATAAGAGTACAAGCTTGAACATCACATTACAAGCTTGAGCATAAGAGTACAAGCTTGAACATCACATTACAATCTTGAACATCACAGTACAAGGTTGAGCAAAATAGTACAAGCTTGAACATCACAGTACAAGCTTGAAAATCACAGTACAAGCTTGAGCTTACGAGTAAAATGAACAGTGACCCCCCCAAAAAAAAATCAATATTGAAATAAATTCTGATCTGGATTCTGGTGAGATCTGTTATGGCAGAGTAGATCAGTCCAGTGTGTGCCTTTAGGAGATATGATTCTAGCATTTTACAAACGTCTAACCTTTGTATTGAAAGTTTATGCAACATATCTTCACATAGTTTATAGTGCACGGCAATTGCAAGCATCTACGGCGCCTTCAAACACTACGATAGGATGGTAAGCGGTGATTTGGTAAGTCGTTGAGCAGCGAAATGTAACAGTGTCTTGGGTCAATAACGAGGTCGTGTAACTATAGAGTGACACCTGACTTTGAGCTTCTCTCTCTCTCTCTCTCATGCCAGGTAGCGAATCATATTTCTTTGACCGATTAATATGTTTGTTCGGAGATTATAGATGACAAATCGCTGCGGCTGCTTTAATTATGATGGCTTTGTTTTGTTTTTTTTTCTCCCCCCCTTACAGAAATTGGATGAGGTGTTTATGAACCAACGCATTGTCGTCCATGTAAGCCGGCTTCCTTGTTACATAGTTATGCATGGGGTGTGTTAGGCCCTGAACGCTGCCTCACACACTGCCTGCTTCTGCCGTTCGTTCCTTGGTGTTGCTGCATGCGTAATAAGCTCTGGCTGGTGTGTAGTCAAGGTCTCTCACTCTCTCTCTCTCTCTCTCTGACTCTCTCTCTCTCTCTCTCTCTCTCTCTCTCTCTCTCTCTCTCTCTCTCTCTCTCTCTCTCTCTCTCTCTGTCTCTCTCTCTCTCTCCATAGTTAATTGACTCACCACGGCAACAGTCAAATAACATCAGGTAATTGTAACTATAACTTAACCTAATTCTTAGTGTTCTTATGCCTCTCTTTAGCGTGTTATTGTACAGCTGGAAAGTAGATCAGCGTCCTTCATTTAGGTTCCGTTCCAGCGCCGTAAATCGACCCTTCGTAAATTGACGGACGCCGGTAAGTGACACCCACTGTAAATATTGCTTGTGGTACATTAACCCGGGATTTTCATGAGAAACTCTTCGCCGTTCGCTCATTATCTCCCGAGTCGTAAACACGTTCCTCGATTTACGAAGCGTTCATTTACGAACGCTTGACTGGAATGGAGCCCAAACCAAAAATGACGGGATGCCTATTGTAAAAATTATATCTGATGCCATAAAGATGAATATTTGACTGTTGGATAATATTCTAGAATGCATTTAATTTTTACTACTAACTCTTCCTGTAGTGTTGAGACTAACATTTAACTTAAAATATAAATACTTGTTCTTAATATATTACTTATTTGAGTTATATTACTATCTTATATCATCCATGTTTAGAGATGTTTCAGGTAGTTAGTGTTGTAATTAGTTGTCTAAGGTAGTTAAGGAACCTGACCAACTAAACTGACCTTTACTGTACTGGCATCGTTTGAGGTCAGTGTTTGGTTAGGTTAGGTCGGGTAATATTTGTCTCATTATTGTAACAAGACGCTACGACTGACCTATGACACACCCTGTACAGAAGGGACCTATGACACACCCTGTACAGAAGGGACCTATGACACCCTGTACAGAAGGGACCTATGACACACCCTGTACAGAAGGGACCTATGACACACCCTGTGCAGAAGGGACCTATGACACACCCTGTACAGAAGGGACCTATGACACACCCTGTACAGAAGGGACCTATGACACACCCTGTACAGAAGGGACCTATGACACCCTGTACAGAAGGGACCCCATGACACACCCCACAGAAGGGACCTATGACACACCCTGTACAGAAGGGACCTATGACACACCCTGTACAGAAGGAACCTATGACACACCCTGTACAGAAGGGACCTATGACACACCCTGTACAGAAGGGACCTGTGACACACCCTGTACAGAAGGGACCTGTGACACACCCTGTACAGAAGGGACCTATGACACACCCTGTACAGAAGGGACCTGTACACACCCTGTACAGAAGGGACCTATGACACCCTGTACAGAAGGGACCTATGACACACCCCTGTACAGAAGGGACCTATGACACACCCTGTACAGAAGGGACCTATGACACACCCTGTACAGAAGGAACCTATGACACACCCTGTACAGAAGGGACCTGTGACACACCCTGTACAGAAGGGACCTGTGACACACCCTGTACAGAAGGGACCTATGACACCCTGTACAGAAGGGACCTATGACACACCCTGTACAGAAGGGACCTATGACACACCCTGTACAGAAGGGACCTATGACACACCCTGTACAGAAGGGACCTTTGACACACCCTGTACAGAAGAGTTCTTAGGAAGACCTCAGGTTTGGAGGAATTTTATACATTAATTTCTCAGGTTTTCATTATTTACTTAACCTAACCCAACGTGATCCTAACCTAACCTAACCTAACATGATCCTAACCTAACCTAACCTAACCTAACATGATCCTAACTTTAATCTTAACTAACCTAACCTAATGTAACCTAATCTAAGACAGAAACTGAGTCATTTACAGATAATTGAATTCAGGGTTATTGATTGTGATTTATTCATTAGTGTGGACCAATAAACAGGTAATTGTGTGTGTGTGTGTGGTCATCGATGCATAGATACAACGATGGCTCAGAGGCTAGGCTGTCCACCCAAAGGCTATTGACTCTAGAAGGAACAAGGCGTCGGGTATGTTTCTGCTTTCCACTCATACCAATCAACGTGTAAAGGACATTAATAGATAAATAACAACATATCAATAACCCCGGTGATGTTATTAAGGTAGAGAACGTGAACATATGTTATTTTAGCCTGCGTGGGTCACCTGAACATAAGCCTCCCTCCCAGATAGATTCAGGGAAGTTAATTTGAGGTTATGTTTAGCTTGGGGTTAATCTTCAGGTGAGCACTTGGGGGTTAATCTTCAGGTGAGCACTTGGGGGTTAATCTACAGGTGAGCACTTGGGGGTTAATCTACAGGTGAGCACTTGGGGGTTAATCTTCAGGTGAGCACTTGGGGGTTAATCTTCAGGTGAGCACTTGGGGGTTAATCTACAGATGAGCACTTGGGGGTTAATCTACAGGTGAGCACTTGGGGGTTAATCTTCAGGTGAGCTCTTGGGGGTTAATCTTCAGGCACTTGGAAGTTAATCTTCAGGTGAGCAGCAGGGTTAATCTTCAGAGTGAACGCAGGGGTTAATCTTCAGGTGAGCACTTGGGGGTTATCTTCAGGTGAGCACTTGGGGTTAATCTGAGTGAGTACTTGGGAGTTAATCTACAGGTGG